TCCTCCACACAACACACACGCAAAGGAACAAGATGTGCTGTCTTTTAAAGCTGCTACCCACACACAGAGAAGATCATCCAACTTTCCGAAATCAAGAGCTAGAAACTTCCCTTCCCCTCCACCTTCCCATCCCCCACCTTCCACTATGCTACCCTTGCTACACTTCACTCTGGAACTGCATACTGAGCCACAGAAATTTGTTCAAGTGCAGTCTGGGTTTTATCTTTTTTTACCCTTTAACCAATCAGACCAGATTGGATAACTCCCATCCCTGAAATTCTTCCTGCTTCCAAACAGTTCCACTTACTGGGCACTGCCAGTTACTCTCAGCCCTGACTTTCGGTCTCAAAACTTGTTGCTGGGCCTGAGATAGGGGATCGTCAACTGTGGTGAGGACCACCAGGACTGATTTTATGGGGTAATTAAGGGGGAGGGGATCAAGGAAAGGTAGATTTCAGTTTTTGTTCCTGCTTCAATTTTCTCTGGAGAACAAGGACAGCTTTTCCCTCGGTTTTCTAGGGCATCAGCTTCATACCCATGTTTGACACATACATAATCTTCCTTGAGACATAGTGTAAGGCAGACACTCTGCCTCTTAGAAAACCCGAGATAAAATGGATTGTAAGGCAAAAATGTTAAAAAGAAGTAGGATTACCATGGTGTTCCTATACGCAAATAGTGAAAGAAAAGAAAATGAAATTAAAAAATAATCCTGTTCACAATTGTGCCCCAGAAAAATCAAGTACCTAGGAATCAGCTTAACTAAGGAAGTAAAATACCTATACAAAGAAAACTACAAAATGCTACTTCAGGAAATAAAGGAGGACACGAGGAAATGGAATGATATCCCCTGCTCATGGATCGAGAGAATTAACATTGTCAAAATGGCAATACTTCCCAAAGCACTGTACAAATTCAAATTCATTCAGCAATCCCTATAATGAAACCCATGACATTCTTCAAAGAAATGGAGCAAACGCTCCTGAAATTCATATAGAACAAAAAGCCCCCACGAATAGCTAAAGCAATTCTTGGGAAAAAGAAAATGCGAGGAATCAACCTCCCTAACTTCAAATTCTACTACAAAGCAGTAATAATTAAAACAGCATGGTAATGGAACAAAGGCAGAACTGCAGACCAATGGAACAGGGTTGAATACACTGACATCTCCCCTTAAACATAGGCTCATCTAATCTTTGATAAGGGAGCAAGAAATGCAAAGTGGATCAAGGAAAGCCTCTCTAACAAATGGTGCTGGCAAAATTGGACAGCTACACGCAAAAAAAAAAAAAATGGGCTCAGATCTCTGCCTAGTACAATGTACAAAAGTAACATCAAAATGGATTAAAGACCTCAACATCAGACAGGAATCCATAAGGCACATTGAAGACAAGATTGGTTAAACCCTCCATGACATTGAAGCAAACGGTATCTTCAAAGATGTCAAGCCACTGGCCAAGCAAGTGAAAACAGAGACAGACAAATAGGACTATCTTAAACTAAGAAACTTCTGCACCTCAAAAGAAACAGTGACCAAAATACAAAGACAGTGTATAGAATGGGAAAGGATATTTTCCCAATACCTATCACACAAGGGGTTGATATCAAGGATATACAAAGTACTGGTTGAACTCCAAAAGAAGAAATCATCAAAAAATGGGGCGATGTAATGAACAGAAATTTTCTCAAAGAAGAGATTCGAGTGGCTAAAAGGCACATGAGAAAATGCTCTACATCATTAATCATCAGGGAGATGCAGATCAAAACAACAATGAGATTTCATCTCTACCACAGAGACTGGCCTATATCCAAAAGAACAAAAGCAACAGGTGATTGGCATGGATATGGAGAGAAAGGGACCCTCCTTCACTGCTGGTGGGAATGCCGACGGGTTCAGCCCTTTTGGAAAACAGTATGGACGGTTCACAAAAAATTATAAATTGAGCTCCCATTTGACCCAGTAATACCACTCCTGAGAATATATTCCAGAGACAGAAAAAAGTATAGTCAAAGTGACATTTGCGCTTGTTTGTTCATTGCAGCACTGCTGTTTCCAATAGCCATAATATGGAAAAAAACTGAGTGCCCAAGAACAGATGACTGCTTAAAGAAACTGTGGTACATCTACACAATGGAGTACTATGCAGCTGTTAGAAAAGATGAAGTCATGAAATTTCCATACAAGTGGTAATACATGGAAAGTAACATTCTAAGCGAAATGAGTCAGAAAGAGAGGGACAGACAAAGAAAGATTGCACTCATCTGGGGAACATAAAGTAACAAAATAGGAGACTAACACCCAAGAATAGCTTAAATAAGTACCAGGAGGTTCACTCCATGGCTTGGAGGCCAGCCGCACATGCTAGGAGAAAAAGCAGCTCGAATAGAGAAGGGAGCTCCAAATAAAGGGTGTTGGAAGGATTCTCCCAGGATGGGAGGTGCATGCTGAAAGTAGACTCTAGACCTAATATGATTGCCACTTAATGCCTCTTTCGCAAACCACGGCACCCAAAAGGAGAGAGAGAGAACAAAAGGGAATGCCTGCCACAGAGGTGGGGTGAGATGGGGGATGGGGGAGTTGGATACTGGGATCATTGGTGGTGGAGAATGGGCACTGGTGGAGGGATGGATAATCGATAATTGTATAATTGAAACCCAAGCACAAAAATCTGTAAGTCTACAACTGTATCTCATGGTGTTTCACTAATAAAAAATTTAAAAAAATTAAAAAAATATAAAATATAAAATCTCAAAAAAAGAAGTAGGGTTAAATTAAGTTATGATTGATAATATTTAATTATTTTATTTGATATATCTATATGTACAAAAATAAAAGCACAGTGCATCAGCAGCCTGATGGCACCATCAGACTTTCAGATACCCCTAAATTACTGCTGTGCCTTTGGCCAGACCCCAAAAACTTGGGGCAATATTTACCAAGAAAGTAAACAACAAAAGTTAGGTATGTGGGAGACACCATCCACAAACCACATTTGGTCCAGCTATATAATTGGAGGCATGGCCTCTTTGGTTCCTGATCTAACTGCCTAATGGCCATCATTCCAGAGACTCAGAAAGGAATCTTGGAACCCAAAGGCTTTTGGCAGAAATGCACCCTGTTCCTGCAGTAGGTTACTGGTGCTGGGCCACTCCAGGTGGAAATAGGTTTTGTGCCTTGGCCTGTTCCCCATGGCGGTCCAGTGACCGCCATCCTCCAGAGGCCACTGGAGAGTCAGGTTTGGGCCTGCACTGATGAGATACGTGGGGCCTCACCAGATGGAGGTGGAACTGGCCCTTTCCTCCCCATCCCAACGAGACCCCGAATCGCCGCCTGGCTCCTGATCAAGCAGATTAATGGCCGTGATCCCAGAGACTCAGAAACAAACCTCGAAACCCAGCGGCGTTTGGCAGAAATGCATCCGGACTGCATACAAGGTGGCCGTCACCTCAGAACTTATTGGAAAGCCAGGTATGAGCCAGCGGTGATGGGACAACTGCAGTCTCATGGGAATTGGGGCAGCACCCGCTCATCTTTCATGCCCTACCGAGGTCACAAGTTGCCCCCCACGAGTGGTTCTCCGGCACCACCATGGCTACAGAGGCAAATGAACTTAATCCAGAGCCCGGCAACTTGCGGCAGAAAAGTGAATGGACCATGGGTTCAACTATGGCGCCATGCCTTCCTGGGAGGGAAAGGGTTTTTCTCCCTTCCGCCTTTTTCCCACCTGGCAGCAAGGTGGCTGCCACCTCAGAGCTTATTGAAAAGCCAGGTATGAAGTGTTGGTGACGGGGCAACTGCAGTCTTATGGGAAGGGGGTGGTACTAGCTTGTCCTTCACGCCCTACCGAGGTCACGAATTGACTCCCACCAAGTGGCTTTCTGGCACAGCCATGGCTCCAGAGTCAAAAGGACTTAACCCAGAGCCTGGCAGTTTGTTGCAGAAAAGTGAATGGACCATGTGTTAAACTATGGCACCATGCCTCCCTGAGAGGGAAAGGGTGTTGCTCCCTTCCGCCTTTTCCTGCCAGCAGCAAGGTGGCTGCTGCCTCGAAGCTTATTGGAAAGCCAGGTATGAGCCAGCAGTGACGGGGCCACTGTAGTCTCATAGGAAGGGGTGCGGTACCGGCTCGTCCTTCACACCCTACCAAGGTCACAAGTTGCCCCCCATGAGTGGCTCTCCAGCATGGCCATAACACCAGACGCACAAAAACCAATCTCGTAATTATCTGGCTCTTTGCAGAAATCCAAAATCATTATATGATTCTCATAACCAACTATAGAAAAAAAAAGTATTTCACAATGCCTTTTCAGCAATTCTGATTGTTGGGGGGGGGGAGAATTATAAACAATAATGGTGCATCTTTTGTCGAAATAATGAGTGTAGTCAATATAGAGAAGAGTTAAGTAGAAATCATCTGCCTCAAAGGCATTGGGAGGGGTGGGAGGGGGGTATATTGGGGTTCTTGGTGGTGAAAAATGAGTACTGGTGAAGGGAAAGGTGTTTGATCATTGTATGACTGAGACTTAAATCTGAAAGCATTGTAACTTTTCCCACAGTTATTCAATAGATAAATATAAGAAGAAAAATAAATAAATAAATTATGAAAAAAAAAGTAAGGTGGAGTTCATGCCCAATTCAATCAGCTAATCAGTGGCTGTATAAATCATAGTACTCCTAAATGTGTCACGGTCACAGTCACGGTCCTCCCATTGTTCATCAATTTGCTCAAGCAGGCCCAGTAACGTCTCCATCATGAGACTTATTACTGTGTTTGGTATATTGAATATGTCACAGGTAGCTTGCCAGGCTTTGCTGTGCAGGCGAGATACTCTTGGTAGCTTGCCGGGCTCTCCGAGAGGGGCTGAGGAATCAAACTCGGGTCGGCCATGTTGGCCGTGTGTAAGGCAAACGCCCTACTGCTGTGCTATCGCTCCAGCCCACTCCTACATAAAAAAATAAAAAAATAAAAGCACAGTGGTCTTATATTTAAAATGCATATACAATTATATTTAAAAAGAATTTACAAATTTTTTATTGATTTTTTTGTACATGTCTATGAGACAGTTTGTGCATTGTGCATTGTTATTTCATCCTATTTGGAACTCCTCAGTACAGCGTAACCCATAATCCAAAGCATTACTGCTTATAAACCCAAAAGCATATAAATATATCTACTTGGATACCCATTGCCTAAAAGAGTCTCACCATTTCAATCTGTCATAAAAGTAGTTTAAATAAAACATGATATATTTTTTATTTCCTAATATTTTAATTTTAATTCACTGCCACCCTGTTGGTCATCGATTGCCTTGAACAGGTCCCAGTAACATCTCCTTCGTCCTAGCCCTGAGATTTTAAAATGTGCCACATTTGAGGCTCTTTGAGGGTCAGGAGAATGAGACCCATCATTGTTACTGGTTTTTGGCATATTGAATATGCCACAGGGAGTTTGCCAGACTCTGCCGTGTGGGCAGAATACTTCTGGTAGCCTGCCAGGTTCTCCAGAGTAAGACCTAGATAGTAAGATGTTGTGCAGCCGCAGTTGTGGCCGCGCACTTCCAGGAGCAGGGTTTTATAATCTCTGGGTCTTGGCTGTTGATGGGATTACACGGCGCTGGGGGAGTTGGTGGGTGTAACGCCTGGAAGATGGGGGATCTGGATAAAGAAGGCCCCAGTCCCAATCCGAGCAGGCTTGGAGATCTACGCCCCGAGTCCTGCACACCTGGGTTCCTCTGCTGGTTCCTTCATGCGTGAGGCTCATTTGAACGTGTGGAGAGTGGTCTTGAGCATGGCTGTGACTGGAACTGGAGGTCTTCAGCTGCCGGGGCTCTGCTCAGGATGGGGAGGGAAACTCAATTCACACTCCTCCAAGGGGCCCCGGTGAGGATAGCCAGATGCGGAGGCAGGAGACTCTGTGCTGTTCTCTTCTGGGAGCAGGGTTTTACAGTCTCTGGGTCTTGGCCGTTTTTAAAAAAATTTTAATTATTTAGTTATAATTTTAATTATTTAGTTTTATATTATTATAAGGGCTCAGGATGTGAGATAGACACTCCCAGTTACTCTCAGGCCTGAATTTGGGTCTCACAACTTGATGCGAGGCTGAGTCAAGGGATCATCAGCTGTACTGAGGACTATCAGGGCTGAGCTGTGGGTGTCAGGGGATGGCATCAAATCCAGGGCATCAAGCATTCTAGGCATGTGCTCTACTACTTCAAGGAGCTCTTCAGCCCAAGAATGGTAATACTCTGTATGTTAACTCAAAGTGAACATGCTAAAGTGTAAAAATTATTTTGTTAGTAAGTAGAATTCTTTAAAATGCAGAGCATAAGAATATTGCATCACCTGTTTACAGCTATAAATTCTTGCATGTTTTTGATGCAGTTTCAGAAATTGTTTACAAATAATAGAAAAAGTGGAAACATAAGAGATGTGGGAAGATTTTCATAATTGTAATAAATATTCCACATTTTTTCTAATGAAACAATTTTGTTTATGAGTGAAAGTATGCATTAAAAAGATTTTCAGATTTAATGCTTTTTATGTGAAACTGTTGAACTAAAGCAAATGAATGAAATAAATTGGGTAAACTTAAGTTTCTTTTGGGGGGAGGAATCAGTTATCTACACCTAAAAAATTTTCCGGAGACCATGTGCTCCTTCAAAACTAGACTGTAAGTTCTCCGAGGGCAGTCTTGTTGACTTGATATTTGTATTTGCTCCAGTGCCTAGCATAGTGCCTTGAACACTATAGGCGCCAATAAATATTAATGAACAAAGTAAAAATAAAAAGAATATTGCTTCATAATATTACTTTAAAAGTATCTCCTTACGCGTGTAACAGACAGCAAAAGAACTCTCAGTGTATCAACATATTTTAAATTACAAAATCACTTAGATTTGTCTCATGGGTTATTAAAAAGATTTTTTCTAGTTTTATCAAACAACTATTTTTATGCCTAGTGTTTGTAAGGAAAATAACAGTATATGCAGGGAAAGTTTTATGTATATTATAGAACTGGAGTTGTGATACTGATTTTTTCTCTGGATTCAAGTTACAAGTATTAACTCCAACCTAAAGGTCTATTTAATTTACAATCATGTTGTCCCAAATCTGTTTCATTTTGGCCCCAAATTTCTTTCATTTGGAGAATTCTGCGATTCTCTCTGACTCAGTTTTCATCTTTGCTGTCAACTAATATTACACATTTTTTAGTCAACACTTTGAGAAAAGCATTCAGTAACTGTAGATAACAAGCACAATGCAGTTATGGGTTTCAAGTAACTTGACAAGCAGAGACATTTGATTTGCTACAAATCCATTTCTTGTCTGAGTAAATCCTGCCACTACTCACACCTTTGTCACTCAAGTAAGCATATTCCCCAGTTCCTCTGACCTGAAAACTAAAACAAAACAAAATGATTATTCATATACTGAACATCTTGCATTCATTCCTCTAATGTGATCTGTAATGCCTCTACTCCACTTTTTTTCAATAGAAGTAAAAAAAAGGTCTGTTACTTATGTGACTTCTTAATAATAAACACCATTTTTATATTTAGTTCTTTTTACAATTTCAATACATTCTTGAACACCACCAACTGTATCATTCATCTAGTCCAAATCTAGTTATATTGTTGATCTTGTCACTTTATATATATTTTGCTTTGTATTCAAAAACAAATTCGAAGGCTACAGCAGCTCTCTCTCACCACCTGCATTTGGTGGTCTCGCATGTTTCCCTCACCCTGGAGGGGCTGATGGCAATGGGCAGGTGAAGGAAGGAACGAGGGCCAGGCTAGTTGGTATCAATTGCAGCTTATTCCAATCTTGTCTCCATTCCTCTTCCTCATCCCCTTGATCCTCCTTCATTCCTCTCCCCTGGATCCTCCTCCTTCATTCTTCTTCAACCTCCTTCTGGATACCCCAGCCCACTCTTACAGTCTTAGTTATATCTCAAATCATGAGGGGTTGGAAATTACACATAGGTTCATGGTCATACAATCAACAAAAGTAAAATTCTTCCCTCACAGGAAGCTTCTTCTAGGACAAATTCTCATTCAGCAAGACAACCTACCCAAGAGCAAAATACCATCTATGAGTGTGTTTCTTCTCTCCTTAGTCCAACAAACATACAAACATTCATAATATTAGTCATTTTGTATGGCCAAGTAAGATATACATTAAGCTTTTAGGATGGCTCTCGTGGGGTCATCTCAGTATGGATCTTAGACTACAGTGTTAAGGGCATTTTCGTCTTTCCTAACCCTAGCAGCATCTTAATATAGTTGTTACTTTTTGGATCATGACAGAATTTGTTCATGATCATGCTCTTAACATATAGTTAAGTATTATGGTGCTTTTACTTGACCCATTTCAATGCCAGGGTAGCTCACAGCTTGCCCTGTGTCCATCCAATCCCTCATAGGGACCCTGCTTCTGGGATGCTAGACACTAAGGGCAACTGAGGCTTAAGTTGAGAAAGCAGATACCCAGGGGGAAATATTATTTGGAGTCAATTAACTCCCAAGTTACAAGACCATGGCATTAACTGTCTTCCTGTGTCTATACAAAAAGGACATTGCACTGAAGTAAAAGAACATAAGGAGAAGAGAAAGACAGTATTTCACTTATGAATACAAGTCCAGTGTCCTTAGAAGAATCTGGCCTTACAAGTTAACAGAGTCTGATTAGGGGATACAGGTGATTGACTGGTTGGGGGAGCAGAGCACAAAGAAAGGGGTTACAGATAAACTCCCTGTGGTCAGGGAGAAAGGACAAACCAATGTTAAGCCTAAAACTAGTTAGAGCTATATTTCAATAAACAAAGGAATGGCAGTGTCTTGGAGCACTGTGATGGGTGTAACCTGAAAAACCTAAGCTCCCTGTAGCCAGAGAAAGGACAAACCAATATTATCCTACATTTTGTCATAAGTTGTATTGGTGAAAATTATTCTCAGCCATCTCACAAACTGCTTCATAAATGCATATAATAAAAATATTTATTAGCAATATGCTAAAGAGTTTCATTTTAATGATTGAGCCCTTACATTCGATGCTTTTCCAATGACATTACTGAACTGTCCACAACACAGGGAGCTACTCTTTCTGCTGGTACATCTCTCAGAGAGATTTCTACAGGTTCTCTTTGAACCATTATTCTTTACTTTTGTGAATGGACGCAGCAGCAGCAGGAAAATGGAGTTTTAAAGGTTATGTGGGGATCAAATTATCAGCGACTTTCTAGGATTTTAGAACACTTCCCCCACCCCTTTCCCACTGCATACCAGCAGTTCTTTCTGCCTTCTAAATCAATATTTCATCATAAATACATCTGAATCGTGGCATTAAAGTATAAGAACTTATACATATATCATCATCATCTAAAATCTTTCAACTAAAATCACAATGAATCGAGTTTTCAAGGAGCCTGTCTAGTAAATGAAAAGGCATAGAAAGAATTTCTATTTTTCACACAGTACTATAGGTTTTATATATTAATGTTATTGTCTTATAAACATGCTAAGTCATCATGGCAAAAGGAAAATAAGTGCAAATACATACACAATGTTGCCTCCAGGATTATTGGTCCATTCCCAAGCATGACTTGGCGATTCTCTGCTAAGGCCTATCCAATGATCATAGGGGCCTTTATATCTTTTCATAAATTTCTATTATAAAACAAAAAAGTGAAAACATGCATCTTTCTCACTTACCACTCCTGAGTCTGTCTTTCCCACAGTCTTCTATTTAGGATGACAGCATAGTATAAATGAAAAAGTTATTCTCTACCCCATTTCTAAGCTTAAGTCATTATTCTATGTCTCTGCTACTAAATAACTTTGTTAAAAGAATCATATCTCCTAGTGTGACTGGAAAGTCTCATTTTGTGTCTACTGTATTAGTGTATTGTGAACACTGCCACTCCCACAATTTGAATGAAAAATTACGCGAATACAATAACTCTGCACACAGGGAACAATGCATCTAAGCTTCTAGGTTGACTATGAGGATTACATGGGAGAACGTATCTGACATGTCTCACTGGGTTCTAGGCAGAGCATTCAATACACATCAAAAACTTGTCTGTGCCTGTGCTTCCAGACTGAATCGAGAATATCTTTATCTTTCAACATTAGCCCGGTGCAGCACCCTCCCTCTGAATAGGGAGCTCCCTATCCAACAGAAAATATGCTCCCCAAATAATTATTCCTCTAAAAATGTGGACCAAACCCTGGGGCATTGGGAGAAATTGGACAGAGCCACTTCCTGCAAAGCTCAGCCCAGTGTGCACAAGCAGTGCTGGGGCAAGCAGTACTCTGGAGCGCACCAGGATGACATGTGGGCCCTGGGGTGCTGGAGATGTGGTGCTGATGGCTGAACTCAGAGCCTACATGTGATGGGCACATGCTCTCACACTTTTAATATCTTTCTGGTGCCCCAGAACAATTTTTTCTTTTATTTTGGTTTGGTTTTTGGGTCATACCCGGCAATGCACAGGGAGTACACCTGGCTCTGTACTCAGAAATTACTCCTGGTGGTGCTTGTGGGAACATATGGGATGTTCAGAATTGAAGCCTGGTGAGCCGCATGCAAGGCAAATGCCCTGCCTGCTGTGCTATTACTCCAGCCCGCCTGAACAATTCTTACCAGTTCGTCTTCAGTGTCAATCTGAACAAGATTAGCTTCCAATGAGTTGCAGGAAGTCTGGCTAAATGTCCAATTCCCTGCGTCTTCAGAAAAATAAAAGCACTTGTTTCCAAATCCAATCCACATTGGTGGGCAGGGGAGATGCACATGCATTTCTGAGACTGCTTCCATATGTATTACTGAAATTTGGATAATCATAACAAAATATAGTAAATATATTTTCATACTTTTAATCCATTTTACCACTTACCATCCTAAGGTCACACTAAAGCTATAGACTGCTAATTGTTAATGTCCTAACTCATAAATTATTGTCCTAAATACAATGATCAAAAATCCCCTGGTATGATCTCATTTTACAAGAAGTCCAAGGGTATCAATGGCTTAGAAAAAATAAATTTATAAAGCTTAAAGTCCATGATACTTTTTATAGATAATTCTAATTTCTGCAAAAAATAAGTACAAGATATTCCTTGTATATCATATAGATTCTCCTTTCCTATATTTCCTTAATATAAGTTCCTTTTCCTCTTGATATCTATTATATCCTGGATTTTACTATGGTGCAGACTCAGAAGCTTTATAATCTTCCCGTGGACAAAATATTTTGGGACAACAGCGACATAAATCAGGCAAAACCGTCAATTGAATACGATGTGGTCAATTTCGTTCTGGAACTGCTCAACAGGAGACTCCCATGTCCAACGTTTAGATTCAGCCTTCTGAAACTGTGAGTTACCATGGATGGTCTTGGTCAACATGATGAACTCAGTCTCTCATCCTGTTCATTCCATTCTAGGACATTGGTTCCAATGTGGAGTTCTTCGGGTGACCTTCTCGGTCCTATCTTGGCATTAAAATCACTGACAATGATCTTGTAGAAGGTGTGGTCTTCCTTATAGAACTTCTCCAGCTCCATGTAGAACTTCTCAATTTCTTCTTTATCATAATTGGATATTGGTGTGTAGGCAACAAAGATAGAAACTGCTGGCAATAAGAGACATCTATTCAAGCGTAATCATCTGATTTGGCTTGCTAGACATTCAAATGAATCAATGCTCATGGGCCAAGTTTGTGTTGATGAGGACACCAAAACTACCGTTGCCTTTATTGTCGCATGTTCTGAGGAATATTTCTTTTCCAGTGTCAAAAGTGATGTGATGTGATCAATGCCTTCTCGTCTCTGTCAAACCAATGAAGTCATACTTGATCTTGTGCGCTTGCACCATCAGGTCCTCAATGGATGCTTCCGATGCCAGCTTTGGCATACCAAATATACCACAGGTAGCTTGCCAGACACTGCCCTGTGGGAGGGATACTTTTGGTAGCTTGCCGATTCTCTGAGAGGAATGAAGGCTTTTAAGATGGCCTTTAGTCATCCTTACAGGTGCTCCTAGTCTACTGAATGCAAGTGTTTTGTTGACTGGCATGTTGTAATGATCTGCAGTATCTGTTGGTTCACTCTTTGTAGGTGAGCATCATTGCCACCCCCTGCTATTATGAGGCAGTGAACCATATGGTTCACACCATATTTGAAATCCATCGAGTAAAATAATTATTGAAAATGGTTAGAAAGTGTCTTATGATGTGGCCATGTGGTCCAGAAAGAAGCCTGGAGCAAGGTCGCCATTGGATAGAGGAGGTCAGCTGATGAGGAGATTATCAGGCACCAGCAGGGAGTGTCTTGTGGGTGTGAGTCCTGGGTCGCCGGAGACTAGGGGAGGCAGGCAAAGGCTCTCTGCTCCCTGGTCACATCAGGCCACCAACTCCCTCATGCAAAATTTTACTTCACAGAGCAGGGAGAAAGAGCTGCAAAGTTTAAGAGAATTCTCAGAACGAACACCAAATGGGAGCTCTTTGGCACTGTTGCGGCAACATGGGAAGTTGCTGTCATGATGACATCGACGAGGAATACGATTGACTAGTTAAGCACCTCCATGATTGTGTGAGGAATGCCTAGAGAGACAAAGTCACAGATAGACTCCTATCTTTGGAAATTCTCAAGCTCATTCGTCAATGTGGCTTGGCGAGAGCCTCAGACAATCACAAGCGAGCATCCTAGCTTGCAAAACAGTGCATCAAAGAGATAAAGGAAGACCTCACAGAGAGAAGAGCAGCAGTGCTGGCCGATGTGGCCGAAGCCAGGAAAGGAAAAGTATCCACAATGCCCGACTGTCCTTAGCTGACCAAAAGACCATGATGATTGTCCTCCAATGTTCTGATGGATCTATCACATCTTCCAGAAGGGCAATGAAGAAGATTATCCATGACTTCTACTCAGATCTCTTTGATAGCCACGTCCACCTGCTCACATACCAAATTCTGCAGGAAGGATATATTGTTCACAATGTTTTCCATTCTGAAATCCAAAAAGCCATTTTGTCAGTACAGAAGCTAACAGCAATAGGCCCAGACAAGGTCAGACCCAAACATCTGAAGAATCTGCCATCAGTACTCATCAATACACTGGCTTGGCTCTTCACACGCTACCTCTCTGAATGCAAAGTTCCATCCCAATGAAAACCAGCAGGACCGTTCTGCTGTATAAGAAGGGAGACATCCATGACATCAGCAACTGTCACCCAATCTGCCTGTTGTTTGTTGTCTACAAGCTATTCACTCAGCATCCTGAATAGGATTGGCAGAACACTAGATGAAGGACAACCATGCAAGCAAGCTGGGTTACTAAAAGGATTCTGCACAATCGACCATATCCACACAGTGACCAAGCTCATTGAGGTTTCTCAGGAGTTCAAGATGCCACTCTGTCTAACATTCATTGATTTAAAGAAGGCTTTTGATTTTGTTGAGACTGAAGTGGTCATTGAAGCTCTAGCCAAACAGGGCATTCAAATTCAATACATCAGGATCCTTTGTGAGCTGTATTATGGATTCACTATCAAGATCTCACCATTCTACAAGGAAGTGATCATTGACATCAAGAGAGGAATTCAGCAGGACGATACCATTTCACCTAAACTCTTCAGTGCCACCCTCGAGAACGTCATGCAACAACTGGAATGGGAAGGAATAGGAGTGAAGATAGACAGCTGGCAACTACACCACCTCCGCTTTGCTGATGACATCGCTCTAATAACATCAAACATTAGCCAAGCTGCACGAATGCTGGCCAACTTAGACCATAGTATGGAAAAGTCAAACTGCAGCTGAATCTCACGAAGACAGTGTTCATGAAAAACAGACTAGTTCCTGAAGTTCCATTTGCTCTCAATGGAGCAAACATTCCCAAATGCAGCAGTTATCTGTACCTAGGTCGAAAACTCAACCTGACGAATGACCTAGCACCTGAGCTGCACAGGAGGAAAAGAGTATCGTGGAATGCCTTTAAGAGCTTCAAAGAAATAGCTAAGAGGACGAAAAACCTCTGGTTCTGGACACATCTCTTCGACTCCACTGTTATTCCTGCACTAATATACGCCTCAGAGACCCTAAAAAAACAAGATGAGAATGCTATTTGGGTCTCACAAAGGGTAATCAAAAGAGCTATACTTGGAGTATCATGCTTCACTCAAGTGAGAGAACGAATCTAGAGTTCCGACTTCCATCAACAATTGAGAATCAGGGACACTGTCCTGTTTGCCATGAGTCGAAAATCAGATGATCTCCTAATGTGATTTGAAGATGACCGCTGGACTAGAGCTGTTACTGACTGGATTTCATAGATCTCAAAAGACCATATGGCCGCCGACCTACGAGATGGTGAGACTTCTTTGTCAAGACCCTGAACAAAGAGTTAGGGGCTCTTTGTGTTTATGGATCGAGCAGACACCATTGGGCTACACGAGCACACCACAGGGATGATGAGAGGCTACTGGAGCCCGCTGCAGCAAATTGATGAGTCACAGAATGTCAAGTGATCAAGTGATCAAGTTATCAAGGACAAAATATGCCACCCAAATATTATGCTTATAACAAAAACACAATATAGTGCTTTCTACATTTTTATATTTTTGTTTTATATGAACTTCTTTTAAAAATCAATAAAATATTTTTGGCTTCTCTTAAATGTTCTGAAATAACCAATATTTTGTAATAAGGTGTAAGAAGAAGAATCAAATATTATTATTTCACATTTTGTCCATTTTTTATCTCCTATAGTTACTAAGACTATATTGTTCTTTAAGGCCAGTGAATGAAAAAAAAAGGTATCAAAATACTGAATACCAATGATGACTTAAATTTCCTCACATTTAAAGAAAAACAATCCCTTACAACGAGTGGCTTAGACAGGAAATCAAAGAGGAAATCAAAAGATTCCTAGAAACGAATGAAAATGAGAACACGAGTTACCAAAACTTATGGGACACAGCAAAAGCTGTGCTAAGAGGAAAGTTTATAGCTCTACAAGTATTCCTCAGAAAGGAGGAGCGAGCACACATAAGTAACCTAACCTCACAGCTTAAGAGCTTGGAGAAGGACCAAAAAAAGGAGCACAACTCGAACAGGAGGAAGGAAATAATAAAACTCAGAGCAGAGATTAACGAGATGGAAACCCAAAAAACAATCTGAAAGATCAATGAAACCAAGAGTTGGTTCTTCGAGAAAATTAACAAGATCGATAAGCCTCTAGCAAAACTCACAAAGAAAGGGAAAGAGAATACCCTAATAAACCGAATCAGAAATGAAAAGGGGGTCATTACAACAGAAACTACAGAAATTCAAAGGATCCTCAGGGAATACTTTGAAAAACTTTATGCCACGGAACATCAAAACCTCGAGGAAATGGATAAATTCCTAGACTCCTACAGATTCCCAAGGCTGAACCAAGAAGACCTGGAATACGTGAACAGACCTATCACCATCAAGGAAATTGAAATGGTAATAAAAAGTCTCCCCAAGCACAAAAACCCTGGCCCGGATGGATTCACTAGTGAATTCTTCAAAATCTTTAAAGAGGACTTACTCCCAATTCTCTTTAAGCTTTTCCTCGAAATTGAAATATCAAAAACACTTCCGAACAGATTTTAAGAATCAAATATCACACTGATACCAAAAGCAGACAGAGATACCACAAAGAGAATTACAGACCGATATCCCTGATGAACACAGATGCAAAGATCCTCAATAAATTACTAGCAAATAGAATCCAACTACTAATCAAAAAGATCATACACCATGACCAAGTAGGATTCATCCCAGGGATGCAAGCATGGTTCAACATTCGGAACTCAATCGACATAATCCATCATATCAAAAAAAGAAAAGATAAAAAGCATATGATCATATCAATAGATGCAGAGAAAGCATTTGACAAGATCCAGCACCCATTTATGATGAAAACTCTAGCCAAAATGGGTATAGAGGGGACCTTCCACAACATAATTAAAGCCATCTACCACAAGCCTACAGCAAGCATTATCCTCAATGGGGAAAAACTGAGAGACTTCCCTCTAAGATCAGGGACGAGACAAGGATGCCCACTATCTCCACTGCTGTTCAATATAGTACTGGAAGTACTTGCAATAGCTCTCAGGCAAGAAAAAGATATTAATGGCATTCAGGTAGGAAAGGAAGAAATCAAGCTCTCACTATTCGCAGATGATATGATACTCTACTTAGAGAACCCAATAACTTCCACCAAAAAACTCCTAGAAACAATAGACTCGTAGAGTAAAGTTGCAGGCTATATAATCAATACCCCAATGTCCATGGCTTTCCTATACGCAAACAGTGAGAGAGAAAAAAGCAACATGAAAAAAACAATCCCATTCACAATTGTGCCCCAGAAAATCAAGTACCTAGGAATCAGCTTAACTAAGGAAGTAAAGGACCTGTACAAAGAAAACTACAAAACACTACTTCAGGAAATAAAAGAGGACATGAGGAATTGGAAAGATATCACCTGCTCATGGGTCGGGAGACTTAACATTGTCAACATGGCAATACTACCAAAAGCATTGTATAAATTCAATGCAATCCCTATAAGGATACCCATGACATTTTTCAAAGAAATGGAGCAAACACTCCTGAAATTTATATGGAACAATAAGCCCCCACGAATAGCTAAAGTAATTAATGGGAAAAAGAAAATGGGAGGAATCAAACTCCCAAACTTCAAACTGTACTACAAAGCAGTAATAAATAAAACAGCATGGTACTGGAACAAAGGCAGAACTGCAGACCAATGGAACAGGGTTGAATACACTGACATTCCCCTCAATCATATGATCATCTAATCTTTGATAAAGGTGCAAGTAATGTGAAGTGGAGTAAGGAAAGCCTCTTTAACAAATTGTGCTGGCATCACTGGACAGCTACATGCAAAAAAATGGGCTCGGAACTCTGCCTAACACCATGTACAAAAGTAAGATCAAAATGGATTAAAGACCTCAACATCAGACCAGAAACCATAAGGTACATTGAAGATAAAGTTGGCAAAACCCTCCATGACATTGAAGCTAATGGTATCTTCAAAGATGCCACGCCACTGGCCGAGCAAGTGAAAACAGAGATAGATAAATGGGACTATCTTAAACTAAGAAGCTTCTGCACCTCAAAAGAAACAGTGACCAAAATACAAAGACAGTCTACAGAATGGGAAAGGATATTCGCCGAATACCCATCTGACAAGGGGTTGATATCCAGGATATACAAAATACTGGTTAAACTCCACAAGAAGAAAACATCCAACTCCATCCAAAAATGGGGCAATGAAATGAACAGAAACTTTCTCAAAGAAGAAATCCGAATGGCAAAAAAGCACATGAGAAAATGCTCTACATCATTAATCATCAGGGAGATGCAGATCAAAACCACAATGAGATACCATCTCACACCTCAGAGACTGGCCCACATTCAAAAGAACAAAAGCAACCTATGCTGGCGTGGATGTGGCGAGAAAGGGACACTCCTTCACTGTTGGTGGGAATGTCCACTGGTTCAGCCCTTCGGGAAAACAGTATGGACGATTCTCAAAAAATTAGAAATTGAGCTCCCATTTGTCTCAGCAATACCACTCCTGGGAATATATCCCAAAGAGGCAAAAATGCATAGTCGAAGTGACATCTGTACTTGTTTGTTTATTGCAGCACTCTTTACAATAGCCAGAAGCTGGAAGAAACCTGAATGTCCAAAAACAGATGACTGGTTAAAGAATCTTTGGTACATCTACACAATGGAGTACTATGTAGCTGTTAGAAAAGATGAAGTCATGAAATTTACATACAAGTGGTACAACATGGAAAGTATCATGCTAAGCGAAATGAGTCAGAAAGAGAGGGATAGACATAGAAACATTGCATTCATCTGGGGGATATAAAGTAATAAAATATGAGATTAATACCCAAGAATAGCTGAGATCAGCACCAGGAGGATTACTCCATAGCTTAGTGGCCAGCCGGGCATTCTAGAGGAAAGGGCAGCTCAGATAGAGAATGGAACATCAAATAAAGGGTGTTTGGAGGATCCTCCCAGGAGGGGAGATGCATGTCGAAGGTAGACTATGGACTGAACATGTTTGCCACTCAATGCCTCTTTTGCAGACCGCAACACCCAAAAGGAGAGAGAGAACACAGGGATTTCCCTGCCACACAGGCAGGGGGGGATGGGAGGATGGGGGTGGGGGGGATATTATCCATGGTGGTAGAAAATGGGCACTGGTGGAGGGATGGGTAGCTGATCATTGTATAATTGAAACCCAAGCACAAAAAATTATAAATCTACAACTGTACCTCATGGTGTTTAACTAATAAAAAATAAATAAAAAATAAATAAAAAAGAATATAGCACTATTTAAAAAAAGAAAATTCAGATTCTAGTAGATAATTTTAAGAATGACACTTACAAATTTTAGAAACTATATAATTTGCAACAATTAATCTTCAGTAAAAATTGTTAGTTGTTATTAGATTTAAGAAATGCTTCAAGATGGGCTCAGTACATGCCTTATCTATGTGAGACCCTCACTTGAATCCCCAGCATGAATCTCCCCTACCCTTACCCCTCACTCCAACGAAACTAAAAAAAAAAAATGTCTGGTTCATATAGGAGTTGTTGGAAGAAGGTCTTTATAGATACAAAATAATAAAATCAAAATAGATGAAATAATTATTAATTCTGATAAGTTATTTATTTCTGATCAATTCTTTATACAAATAAATACTTGTTAAGGCATATAGTTCCATACTTTTGAACATTCTCTGTGCAAGAAACAGATCCAAAGATAAAACCCTTGATAAGGCTTTTTCTTATCAAGAATGATAACTCATTTCTTGCCATGGTTTAGGAGAAAATCCTTAGACTTATATAGGAGTCTCTTGTTGCATATCTTCATATGCAATCTGTTATAAAATACTGTGGTTCCAACATTCAAAATATCCAGAACTTGACCGCCCTACCACACCCCCGCTGCACTCATCAGATCTAAGCTACCACTATTTGTCACCTAGATTTCTACATGATAACCCGAGTACATCTCCTCGATTCTCCCCTTCTCTTATAACAACCACTTCTTAATAGTAAAGTAAAAATGATCATTCTCCAAAGCAAGTCTTGAAGCCACGGTATTCCTCTTTACAACTCTCCTTTTCCTAATTTTCCCTACTCTATTCAAGTTTAACCCAAAGTCTTTTAGTGGCTCCCAAGGCTACTGCCTCCTGGATCCATCCCATGATTCTTCCTTTGTGTCACCTTGTTCTAGCCCCGGCAATCTCCTTGTTCTGATTCAAAGCACTAGGTATAGTCCTTCTTTGGGATTTTGCTCTATTGTTTTCTGTGCCTGAATCATTTTCCCCAATTATCAGCATACTATCTTTATCTCATCAAAAGTTTGCAGAAAGAGATAGATTCTCACTGAAGAGTATGTGTCACTTCTATGTGCATTGTTGCTTGTTTCTCTACCCCTACCTTAATTTATTATGACAGTTACATCTTTCTTCTGGAATGTAAATTGGAAGAAGGAAGTTTTATGTTTCATTCACCAATATACCCCAGGCACCTTGCACAGTGCCTGGCACAAAACAGAACTCAAAGGAATAGTTATGACTATTTAATGTATGGAGGACATTATAGAGTTTGCAAAACAAATAACTTACCTATACAAGCAACACAAGTTATAGCCATAGGTATTATGTTGAACACAACAAGGAGGAGGCAGTAAGCACGTCTGTGAAGAGTTTCAGATCGAGTTGTTCTATATTTTTCTTGGTGACGTACACCTTTAAAGTAAAATATAATAATTTCTTTCCCCTGAAACCGTTATGAGAAAAACAAGTTTATTACAAAAATATACTTCCAACATCTGTTGCAGCACAATTTCCCTATTGCCAATCCCTTTCACGAAAGGTCATGACCCATATGCTATTATCATGGGTCAAAGAGGGTCTAAAATAAAAGAAATAGAATCTCCATCCATAGGAAATCCTACAAGTATAGGCAAAGGAGTTAAGGAAGATGGAGAGAAAGAGAAAAAAGTAGAAAGGTCAGGTGTGAGGATCAGCAGTGAGGCATATGCCTCTTCTGTGTCAGGTAGAGTATCAAAGACATGCCTATAGGCAATAGGTGGATTCAAATTCTTCCTGTCACTCATTAACAGGAAGACTCCAATCAAAAACCACAAGCAGGTGTCACCTCACATGGTTTAGAGCTGCTAGCAATGTTGATAAAGCGCAATGTTGATAAAGATGTGGTGAAAACCTTCATCTAGACTATATTAAGAACCTTGAAAACTCAAAATAAGAAAAATACCAAGTTGAAATGGGTTTTGAATCACCAGTTTGCATATCTTAATATAAAATTGAAGAAGATGATAAGTTAACACATAAAAATGTGTTCAAGTTAGCCTGAATTAAAGAAATGTTAATTAAACTCTGCTCGAGCGGGCCCAGTAACGTCTCCATTGGAGACTTTGTTGTTACTGTGTCTGGCATATCGAATACTCTCGGTAGCTTGCCGGGCTCTCCGAGAGGGGCGGAGGAATTGAACTCGGGTCGGCCATGTTGGCCGCTTGTAAGGCGAACGCCCTACCCGCTGTGCTATCGCTCCGAATTACCTCTCTCTGCCTATTGAGAACATAAAATAAAACAAAATAAAGAACAAGCGGAGAATTGAAATTCTCATGCACTGATGTTGAAAATATAAGATGGTACAGCCACTTTGTAAAGGCAACTTTGCAGTTTGGGGCAGTAAATACAAATTAACATGTGTTAACCATGGTGTCATATTTTGGTATCAAAATCAACTCGATGTTTTGTATTTAAACAGGAAAAATAAAGCTTAACTTTACTCAAAACCTACATAGACATATAATACCTCTGTTATTTAGCACTAAAACATGCAAGAGTCTAAATTCTATTGGAGGAAAAACAAAATGCTGTCCAGCACCAAGCCAAAGGAAGAATGAACTCGTGGTCACAATTGTTTGCTCCTCACTGGACTTTGACCTGACTAAGGTTAACAATCAGCCTTCTCTCTTCCACACAGACGTCTAAACTCTGGGTTACCTCTAAGATTCAAAAAGCATTAAAGCACTGATACAGGACATATCCGCCTTTAACAGCTATCTTGAGAATCAGCAGAAAGCAGTGTGCTGCTGAAATAACAGCCATAGGACTTAAAGATAGCCCTGTGACAATTGGGCCCTAGCAAAGCAAGTCCCAGCCCATATCCTGTCCTGCAGCTATGGCAGGCTAGCAACACCAAGTACCCCCATCTCCTCCTTGCACCTGGAATTCGCCAGATAAGGCCACAAGGCCATGTAATAGATCAAATGTATTGGATGCTTTGTGTGCAGGTTTGTTCTGAAATGCGAGGGAAGATACCCTATAAAAATCCCCCACTGAAGGGGCTGGGGGCTCTCAGTCACTGATGGTTTGCGGTCATGCTGTGAGCCTGAGCATGCTCGAATAAACCTCTTGCTTTTGCATGGACTTGGTCTCTCAGAGTTTTCCTTGACAGGTGGGGCTGTCCTGAGCTCGGACCCTAACATCTGGGGGCTCACCCGGGATTGGGAGCAAAGGGACCCCTGCCCACCTGATCAGGACCTCCCTGACAGACCTTCCGAGGTAAGTAAGGCGCCTATACCCAGTGATCGCTATACCCAGTTGGTGTGCCGGCCAGTCAGGGGACTCTTGCAGTGGCTGTCAGGTCGGGTCCGAGAGGACCTCCTGACTGTGGCGAACAGATGTGTTCCGAGACCACAGGTCACGACCCTGCAGGACACTCCAGTGGTGGTAGAGCCCCGGGGACGCCTGGAAGACTCCATTTGGGGGAAGGAGACACGGAAATCTCCTTCCAGGCAGAGAGCGAGATAGTGAAGTTTTTACCGGCACCCCTTCCAACAGCTGGAAGACCTCTCCCCTTGGCATGTAACAAACAGGAGATTGGCTAGTCAGGCTGGGAAATGGGAAGCAGTGTTCCCAATCGGCCTACAGGGCTTCTTTGCCCTGGGGGCTGCTCCTTCCTTTCTCAGTCCATCAGTTTTCTCCCTGCCATATTTGAAGCGTCAGATTGATCTATCAACTGCAGATATGTGCACATGTACGTGTGGTGGTCTTTAGTCAGTTCATTGTCTGTCTGTCTGTCTGTCTGTCTGTCTGTCTCTCTGTCTGTGTGGAACACTCGAGTGCTGGAACCAGGTTGAAATCAGAAGTAGAAATTCTAGAGATGTCAGTAATATGCAACTCAGTGATTTAAGGAATGCAGTTGTTTTTGGAACTTGTTAGACAAGGTTTAAACGAAGATTTCTTATCAGAAAATTACCTACAGAGAAAGCAGGATTCTCAATCTAAATTTCTTATTGGAAGAACATTAATAGTTATTGACAGTTGTAATGCTTTTGAACTTAAGAATCTGTACTGTCCAGGAAGAGTTGAAGAATTAGAGCCTAAAACTAAAGTGAGATAAGAGTTCAGAGAAAGCAAGAACTTATCTTACAAGCCTCAGCTAACTTTTATGAAAAATTTGTAAGAGGCAGTTTCCCTTTTCTCACAGAAACCTAGCAGGGTTTAGATATGCAGATCTCAGGTGCTACCTGTGCCTGATCTTTGGGATGTAGATTCCCAGCTCTAGCCAGGCTAGTCTTTGGTATGCAAAGCTCAGATACTTGTCTTTGGGATGTAGGTTCCAAGCTCTAGCAGACTGGTCTTTGGGATGCAAGCCCAAGTGCTTGTAGCTTTTGAAAGTGCTTGTGAAATGTTTCGGTTTGGTTTTGTATCTTCTTTCAGGAGGCCAAAATTACTGGCTTTCAGATGTAAAGAAACAATGTACATTTTTCTGCCTCAAAGTTTTTATTTTTTCCTGTAACTCCTTTTGATGACATCACTGTATTGTGCACTTTAGAGGCACCATGATCTATATGAGGAATTTAGTTGTTTTACAAACAACAGAGGTACTTAACCACTAAAATAAAGTTTCCTAATATTCATAAATAGTTTTCTTATATCTCCATAAACATTGACAGTCCAAGTGCTTTTTCTTATGCTAATATCAAATTTTGGTAAAAATCCAAAGGTCTTTTTCTGTGTCCGAAAACATGTTTGTATTCTTGTGGAATTGGTAAAAGTATCTGGTGTAGAAAGCTTATGATTTTAAATAACTAAGGTACAAGAACTATTAAAATTAAGCCAAAGAAGGTTTTATCATGTTTAATAAGAATTGGTGGTTCAAAGGTTTTATGCTGTTATATCAATGTACATATTTGTATCTGCATTGGATTATTAGAATATTTGACCTAGAAAATCTTATGAGTTGAAATAATGTGGTACATAAAAACAGGTTCATGTTAATTTTAAAATGAGTTTCGAGAGTTATCAAGTTGGTTGCAAAACCTATTTTACCATCGTTTTATTTGACCTACGAGACTTTTGGTAACTAAAGTCCTAGAGGTATTTAGCAAAGAATTGTAAGTGATCTCAGATGTCATCTTGATAGAGTTAAGCCATAGCATTTTGCCTTGGAAAAATTTGAGAAAAGAATGGAGAATGGCATGGGAATGTGGGAACTTTTACTGACTATTAATCAGCCTGTCCAGTATATGAAAATGTATGCCATTATGATAATTGCAAAGCTTTGTCTCCAGGTATCAACCTAGTCCTGACCCTCAGAGAGCTTAGTACACAAGTGTGAACTGCTTTCTGTTCTATGGTAATCTGAGTGTTTAATCTCATTGTATTTGTGTTTTCCTAGAAATCAGATTTCTAAGATGTCTCTTCGTTAATTTCTAATGTGAAGTGAACTTTTGCCCAGTGAATGTATGTTGTAAGAACTTGAGTTGTGAGCATCTCTAAAGCCTTTTAAATATCGATAGAACTGATCTAATCCCTTTGAAATAGCACTGCAGAGTATAGTTTTGTCATGTTAATTGAGATTATTGGTACCTGTGCCTGAACTTGGGAGACCATGTTGTACTAATATAGATGTATGTCATCAGTCAGAAAGATAATGAATGAAGATATCGTCTGTGGGAAAAAGGAAAGGAATCCTGTTAAGTTGATTTTTAAATGAATGAAAGTTACAGAATGTATGTAAAAGGAATGTGTAGAAGGTTTGAGGTTTGCTTAAGAAAAGGAACTGATCAAATTGTTTTGTTGTAAGAAAATCTTTAAATCACATGCAGAATTGTTCTAGTACCTTTTTGGTAAGATCTATGGAAAATAAGATAGGTGGATTATCCGGACTCCTGTTACAGTGCTCTTAAAATAATTGAATTTTCCAAAGTTGCAGGGAATCAAGGGTTTTTTGACATGGGGTTAAATGAATTAGGCATGTTAAACTGTACTCTGAACTCCTGGTACAGTGCTCTTAATAATGGGAAATTAAGGTTTTCAACAAGGGTATGAAAACATGATGTTAAACTGTATGCTTTATCTCTACAGATTTTAGCTTCTTTGACTAGGACCCACAGCAAACAGATGTGTTACATCTCTGTGAGTAAAGTGATATGCTTGCTTTTCTCTTCTTTTGTACCTTCAGTATGTTTTTGATGTTTCATGGCACTATGTTGGTTTGCATAAATCCAGATAAATCTTTCCTCTCTGTAATAGGGTCTGCCCCTCATGCAGACAGGAAAAACCAACTATGGGATCCCAAAGCCCTCTTCCAGGGAACAGTCAGGGGATCTGTCTAAATGACAGGAGCAGGGATTTAACAGGTACTGTTTCAAGTACCCTACAAACCTCAGGGCGACCCTACAGGCAGGCCAGCTCAAGGAAAGACTGGA